ATGAAAGCATCCAGCTAATAATCCAAAGACTACTAATCAAATGAGACATCTGAAGAAAAAAAAAGGACAAATCATCCAGAGAAAATGCCCTAAGAAAAAGAATTGGCCTATTGGTATATCACATTCACAACAGGATAAAATTTCACAAATCTCCCCAAATGTTTGCTTCTACTGTTATCTACAGACTATAATATAAATGATCCTTTGTGGTCCAATTAAACAGTAAGACTGGCTTTCGAGTTGGAGCATGGCTCTCTCCTTCTGTAAACTCAAGCATGCTTGTTAAAGTAAACTCCAAAATCTCTGCCTCATGTCAGAAGAGCCACCTGGTATGGAACAGAAGTCTGTAATAGAAAGCATAGATAACGGACTATTTTCTCTGAATTTGTCAAATGCAAATGGACTAGGCATTGTTGATGTATTTATCCTCTGTATATATTGTATATAGTTATTGTACTTATTGTTTAAATTTCTTCTTATATCAGTTATAACCTTTTTTTTAATAGTAGACCGAAAAAGGGGAAATATGGTGATTTGTTTATGATCTAATAAAGCTTGTCTGAAGATCAGAGTGCAAAGCTAGCCACAGCCATAGAGGCCAGGCAGTGGTGGCACACACCTTTATTCCCAGCACTCAGGAGACAGAGGCAGATGGATCTCTGTGAGTTCAAGGCCACCCTGGACTACCTGAGAGTGAATCAGTCTAAAAGAGAAACAGCTCATGCCTTTGATCCCAGCACTAGGGAGGTGGAGACAGGAGTGATGTGGCTGGGTAGAGAGAGGATTATAAGGCTGGAGGAGACAGGAACTCAGTGTAGTCTGTGTGTCTGAAGAGGTCAGTGGGGAACATTCTGAGGTTCTGTGGATCGCCCCTTTGGTCTGAGCATTGGTAGAGGTGAGAACTCTCTAGTGGCTGGCTGCTTTGCTTCTCTGATTTTCAGTTTTAACCCCAATATCCCTCTGGTTTTTTATTTTATTTGTGCTACATTGGTGCTTAGTACTGGGTATAATGTGCATGGTTAGCAGGACAGAATACGGAATACAAACATCTGGGCATGCCTCACAGAAGTTTTTAGATGAGGTGATTGAGGAGGGAATGTGGACAGCACATTCTCAGGGCCAGACTCTTGGGCCAGAGCAAGCAAGAGGACTGACATTCATCTCTCTCCGTTTTCTGACTGCAAGTGCCTTGTGGCCAGCCACCTTGTGCTTCTGCTACCACGACTTTCCCGGCCATTGTGGTCTGTTCTCCCACACGTCAGTCTCAGAGGCAACATTGATGGACACAAGCTACACCATCAAATCTACGTCATGTGGGTGCCGGGGATCCGAACTCATTTCCTTATGCTTGCCTAGCAGTCTGTTTACCAGCTGAGCCATAGCCTCAGCTCCTAGCGTGCATCTTAAAGAGACGAAACCAGAAGCCCAAAGGCTGTCCTTGACACTTTATTAAGCAGCAAAATGTGTAGATTTGTTACAGCATTGTTGAAGGGGAATGACTTTTTAATCCTATACTTTATATGTTTCCCATAAATCAGACTGTCCAGTAAGCCAGCTGTATTTCCCAAGTTATGTTCACTGCAAGGGAGAGAAGAGAAGAAAACAATTTATAACATTCAGTGACAGGGGAGAGTTTACAAACCCTCATGAACTCTGTCCAGCTGATCACTGAATCTGGACTCTTTCCCGGAAGTTTGTTTAAATACATTCAATCCCCGAGGATAAATGTCTCAGATAGTACACCCTGATTTATTGCCTCTATAGGTTTTTAGGGGTGGTAACTGTCACTTCTGCTGAAGTCAGTGATTCATGGTCTCAGTGGCACAGGAAACTGATTGTTATTTGGTTAACTTGGTGTTCTCAACATCTGGCCTTCTTTCGGGATAATAATCATAAAATATTTATTAGTTGGGCAGTGGTGGCACATGCCTTTAATCCCATCACTCGGGAGGGAGAGGCAGGTGGATCTCTGTGAGTTTGAGGCCAGTCTGGTATACAGAGCGAGTTCTAGGCCAGCCAGGGCTACACAGAGAAACCCTGTCTGGAAAATCCAAATAAATAAATGAAAATAATAAATAAATAAATAAAGCATAAACCCCACAAAATATTATTTTAGCAATCCATTGTGTATATTGTTTTGCAGTGCTGGGGAAGGAACCCAGGGCCTTGTGCAGGCCTGGCCTGAGCCACAGGCCAGCCCTCAGGACCCCTGAAGGCAGAAACAAGTCAGACGCTGATCACTCTCAGGACATTCCTAGTGCGGTGAGTCAGCCTGGAGTGTCGTGATCGTGGCTCTGTGGTTGAAGCGCTGGCTGTGGTGGCAATGAGGAACTGAGTTCCAGGCCCAGGACCCACGTAAAAGCTGGCGTGATGGCAGGCACATCTAACCCCAATGCTGGGGCTTGGACATGTACTGTCTGGGCAGCTAGCTGCCTGATGCTAAGCTTCAGGCTCAGTGAGAGACCCTGCTTCAAAACAAACAAAGAAATGAAGAAACAAACGCCCCTCAAGCTTCCCACACAACAGCAACTGAATAACAAGGTAGGGAAGTGACTGACGGTGACATCCCCATGCCAAATGCTGGCCTCTGTTGTTGTGAACACATGTCAGTGTATCTGCACACAGCAGTGTAACACACACACACACATACACACAGACACATACACACATACACACATATGCACACACATACACACATAAACACATACACACATACATACACACATGCACACATACACACACATACACATACACACATATGCACACACATACACACATAAACACACATACACACATGCACACACATACACACATACACACATGCACACACATATATACACATACACACATGCACACACACATGCAAACACATATACACACAGGCACACATGCACACACATACACATATACACACAGACACACACACATACATATACAAACACATTCACACATACACACATACACAGGGTACAGAGATTACAAAAGTCAGAAACATCCTTGTAACACATAAACACACACATACACACACACACACATACGGTGCTGAACTAACAAAAGTGGAAGGTGTTGAGAGGTACCTCAGGATGATGGACCCCTGCCCTGGGCCTCTTGGCCCTACTCTGGGTCAAGGCTGTCACTAGGAGCCAGCCTGATGCTTCATCTGTTTGTCAGCATAAATATTCACACACTAATTTGTTCGAGTTGCCCTGACTTTGGGTAGGAAGCCTTTGGAATTTAGGGCAGCACTGTTGAGCACTGGCTTGATGTTAGGGAGGATCATCGAAGAACGCTGCTTGCAAGACCCCTGGATAATGGATGCCTCCATTCCAGGGAGGGCCATTGGCGAGACTTTAGGACTCAGGGGCCATCTTTTGGAGGTTCCCAACACTAATATCATGAACATAGACAGGATGACTCCTAGCACATACCGGGTGCCTCTAACTTACTAAATTCCTGTTTTCTGTGGACAATACAGAAGCCAGGCCTGTGGGCTCAGGTGGTGGTGGTGGGGAGTGAGGGAATGAGTAGCTGACAGCTTCATGCTGAGTCCAGGAGAGGTTGGGTTTGTCCCACGCTGAGACTGTGCCCGGATGTTTCCTGTCTATTCTTTGCTACTTGGCAAGCTTTTAAGCACCTTTCAGCCCCAACCATCTTTGAATTGTAAGGCAAAATGACACCACTAAACTACATTTGGTCAGCTGCAGTTTGGCTTATGCCCTGTCCATCCTCTCTCTGCCTCTGTGCATCCCTCGCTCTATGCGGATTGTTTGGGCAACATTTTTTTATTTATTTTTTCATTGAGTGACTAGTGTCACAACCATCACGGTGTTCGCCTCTTCCGTTGTCTTCCACAGGTTAGGACCAAACACTTCTAAAACCGTGCTGTAAGAGGTCGTCTGACAAGCGACAGAGAGGGCACCCACGACTCCATCTCCCGGGCTACAAGGGCTGTCACCAGCTCCTGGAGATGGAGTCTAAGGTTACCCTCCCTCGGAGTTACAAAGCTCAGTCCTGCTGAGCTCTCTCACTCCCAATGGAGACCCAGCTGTGGCTGCTGGGTCCGTTTACCTAGCCATAAGCTTGAGAAAACCGGGACCCAAGAACACACTCCACAGGAGCGCTCCGTGCCTCCCTTTAGCACCTCAACCCCTTCCTTCCCTCAGTCAACCACGTCCCCACCCAAACAAGAACCGTGTGTGTGTGTGTGTGTGGGGTCTCCAGGTCGCCGCTTCTGCACCACGGACAGGCTCGTGCTCTCAGCCGGACTGTCCCTGCGCGACCCAGGGCCCGCCCCATGCAGAGGGGCTGCTCCTCGCGCTCCTCCCGGCCGGTGTCCCTCAAGGCCGTTTCCACCCGAGCCCTCGGGTTGACAATTCTCCTCTAACCCCCTCCAAGCCCCTTACCTTTCGCAAACCCGGCTGTCGCTGCGCGCTCTGGGTTTTACGCTGGCTGCACCGCACGCCTTCCCAGCCGGGCTGGGCCCCTCCCTAGTCCTGGGGATCGTCTCCCTCCGTTGCTGCTGCGCACCCCGGGGCCGCCCCTCCAAGATCGCCGGAGCCCAGAGCCTCGGTCCCGGGCGGGGTCCCGGGCGCCCCCGCAGCGCCGCCCAGCGTGGTTCCCGAGTCTCAGTCCCGGCAGCTTGAGAGCGGCCCGTCCCACCCGGGAGCTGGCCCCGCCCCGGCCCCGCCCCGGCCCCGCCCCGGCCCGGCCCCGCCCCCGGCCGCCTAGGCTTGATTGGCCGCGCGCCCCCCTCCCGGGCTCCTCCCCGCCCCCTCGGCCCGTGGGCACCGCCACCTGGTCCAGAGAGTCCCCCGAGGGGACCTCGAGGCTCCGCTCGGGCCGGGCGCGCACGGTGGGGACGCGGAGGGAGCGCGGGCCAGGGAGGAGGAGCGAAGGTGTCGGACAGAGCTTGGCCAGGAACAGGAAACCTAGGGCGGCAGGGCAGGGGCGGCGACGGCGGCGCGGGGCCATCGCGGTGTCCCCAGCAGTGGCCTCGCTGCCGCGCGCGCGCCGTGGCCGAGCCGTTCGGACTCCCCGGACCCCAGGGGCCTTGTCTCACCCCTGCGCGCAGCGGAGGCAGCGGGGAGGCCACAGGAGCGTGAGGCAGCATGTCTGACAAAATGTCCAGCTTCCTCTACATTGGGGACATCGTGTCTCTGTACGCGGAGGGCTCAGTCAACGGCTTCATCAGCACCCTGGGGTAAGTAGGACGCGCCCTGGGCAGCGCCAGCCGGTCCGGGTCTCTGTGTCTCCCGCGCGGCGTGTCCGGGGTCTGCGCCAGGGACAGCCCCGGGTCCCCTAGGTCCCCGCGCTCAGGAAGCCGCGAGCGCTTCTCAGCAACTTCGTAATCTCCAGCCCGAGAAGAGGAAGTGGTTCGCACGCCCCAGACAGGCCCCGCGAGGCTGCCTTGCCTGGCGTCTCCTGTCCTGTCTTGTTTTGATTAAAAAGCGTGTTTTCTCTTCGTCTTCCCCGCGGCCCTTTTCAGCGCCCAGCTGGGAAGAGTGGTGGGTGGGTTGAGGTCCCTCCCTGGCTTTGGCCACGAAAGTAGGTGATGTTGCACAGGGCAAATGTGGCATTGTCCGGCTCCAGGAGATCACCAGCCCCTCTTCGCTGAAGTAATTTCCTTTTGGCCTTGCCAAGGGAAGACTCACCCCTTTGGCTTTGCCAAAACTGGCCTCGTGGGCAGCCGAGGTTTCTAGAGCTCGGATCTTCCTTTACCCTTTCCATCCCCTCGGCCCAGTGAAGTGAACGGCAAGGCTCCCGGAGATTCCAGTTAGTGTACGCACTGGGGAAATACGTATTTGTATCCTACAGAAAACCAGCGTGCTACTTACTTAAGTAGGGCCGTTCCTGATTTTTAGACAGTTCCTACATGGCGTCCATGCTGATGCACAGTTAATCGTGCCTTGCGATATATTTTAGTGCACAGGTAGGTTTTGGTTACTTCACGGGCCCTGGCTCTTTCTTTGGACTCTAATCTGGGAGACTGGTGACTGTTAAGTTTTGGAGTCCTGCCTCCTTCCTGGGAGTCACCAGTGGCTACACCGTTCCTGTTCTTTGTGCATGTCCCCACAGGCTTTGGGGAGGAACGTAGATTTGATGGCATAGCTCGTGTCCATCAGTGTTGCTCCTGAGATTGAAGTGTGGGAGAATTTAATGCAAGTGCCCAGCTGGTCCTGAGAGAATTCATACTCCAAGTCCTGTTTGGGTCCAGGGAAGTGCCTTGCCGGTGAATTCTGTCGGACTTGCACTTGAGCCTCGGCAGACCTGGAGGGTTATCTGCCATTTGGTAGCTAAAAGGAGGGGCTCCGGAAACAGCAGGGTTGGGCTTGATTGGATTCCCACCCTTTGACTTGCAAACCCGGGCAGGTTATGAAATGTATGTATCTGGGCTTCCAACTCCTCAGTCTAAAAAAGTGGTTTCTTCACAGGGGTGTGGGGAGCAAGGAGGCAAAGTGCTTAGCATGGCAAGGCTGTAATGAGTACATTCGCAAGTTAATTAGCTGATGCAGTAATTATCACCGCAAAGACTAGGCAAGAGTTCAAGGGTTAGGATGGACTCTGCTTCTGTAGGGTCACTCAGCAGGCTCAGACATGGGTAACGCATGAAGCAAATACTAGGATGGCTGAGGTGGTCAGCTTCCACGGTCCTGGAGCTGTCTGTCTCTAGGTATTGCTGAGACGAGGCTTGAACAACGCAAGAAGCCGAGGGCATTTGTAGCCAAAGCCAGAACTCTACTCCTGCCTTGCCAAGGGTGTGCTACTCTGCTTTCACGTGATTTCAGACAGAAGCATCGGCATGCATGCTCAGTGGTGTCACAGGCGATTGCTGTGCTCGGGGTTTCTTGCTGGTGGGTTTGAAAGTAGAGTTTCTTCAAAAAGTGTCCCCAGACAGCATCACTCTGTTCATGAAATAATAGGGTTGAGATGACTGGCAAGGCGGAGTCCAAGCTGAAGAGTCTTGAACAAGCTGCCCTGGGCAGAGCTTGCTGCTTTGACGGGGTATCTGTCTTTGAAGTCGACTGCTTGGAGGCTCAGGTAGCTCATAGAACTGCAGAGGTCAGACATTAGTGTGATCGCTGACACTCCTGCTCTCCAGTATCAACAGGTTTCCAAAGGGCGGTTACAGAAGTCATTGCTGATGTCCCCTCATAGAATTTTCTGGCTCTTGGTGAGTGATGTTCAAAGGGCACTCCAGGGCAGCCCGGAGACATGAACTTCAGGGGGCTCTTCATGCGTTTAAATTGTATGAAGTAAGGCAGAACATAAAGGCCCTGTGGCATCTTACTTGACAAATACTGACATCCTTATAACTGCGACAGTAATTTCTGTCTGGAAAGCATGCCCTATCTTTCACATTTGGGAAATATCTAATAGTGTTCAACCTGAAAGTATTAATTATCGTATCGATACAAACAACATTGTATGTGAGATAGGCAAGTAATGTAGAAACTTCAAAGATACTTCAGGAAGATGCCTGCCACATCTGATGGGGATTAAGTTCTAAGACAAATCACCTCATTGATTTTTTTTTTATTAATATGTAGTTTCAAAACTAGAGGTTCTTTCTTACAATTTTATTTTTCAAAATTCAGGAGTGAAAATTTCAATGATTGAGAAATAATTACATTTAATTTTGTAGTGGCTTGACTAAGGTCCTGGGATATATGGTCAGATTCCAACTGTTATTTCAAAATACCTAAGATTATCAGTTTACAAGGAGGAGACATTTTTGTCCGCACAGTTTGGGCTGCAGTCTATGGATTCTGTTGCTTTGGAACTATAGTGGTATAGACGGCAGTTGTCTGTGAGCAGGGGGGCAGGGTTGACTCATCCCCCAACCCCGGTATATGTGGTGGGTGTGTGTGTGGGGTGTGTATGTGTATGGTGTGTGTGCTGTATGTGTGATGTGATGTGTGTGTGTATGTGTGGTGTGGTGTGTGTGTGTGGGGGTATGTATGTGTGTGTGTATGTGGTGTGTGTGGGGTGTGTGTGTGTGGTATGGTGGTGTGTGTATGTGTGTGTGGTGTGTGTGTGTGCGCGTGGTGTGTGTGTGGTGTGGTGGGGTGTGTGTGTGTATGTGTGGTGGTGTGTGTGTGTGTGTAGGGTGTGTGTATGTGTGGTGTGGTGGGGTGTGTGTGGGTGTGTGTGTAGGGTGTGTGTGTGTGGTGTGGTGGGGTATGTGTGTGTGTGTGTGTGGTATGTGTGTGTGTTGCACATGTGGAGGTCAGAGGCTCTGCTGGAGATTTTTTCAACGTAGGGCAAACTACAGTCACCTGGCAAGAGGCAATGTCAGTTGAGGAATTGATTGCCTCTGTCTGATTGGTCAGTTGAGGGAATTGATTGCCTCTGTCTGATTGGTCAGTTGAGGAATCGATTGCCTCTGTCTGATTGGTCTGTGGACATGTCTGTAGGGAATTTTCTTGATTAATGATTTATGTGGGAAAGTCCAGTCCACTGTGGGTGGAGTCAACTGCACAGGTGGTCCTGGGGCACCTCAGAAAGCAGGTCAGGCATGCCCGAGAGCGCAGGACAGTAAAGAGTCTTTCTGTCTGAGGCCTCTGCTTTAGCTCCTGCCTCCAGGCTTTTGCCTTGAGCTCTTGTCTTGACTTCCCTCGAGGATGGACAGTAACCTGTGAGCCACATAACCCAAGTAGCTCTTTGATTAGCGTTTTATCACAATATCAGAAAAGCAAGCTAAGACATCGGCCTTCCACCTTGGCCCCCTGCCCAGTAGCGACAGGAGCTAAGGACTACACCCGTACGAAACACGTGGGCCTTTAGGGGACAAACTGAAATGATTATTATTTTGCAGGTTCTTTTTATTGTTTGTTGGTGGCTATGCATGGTTAAATTTTTACAAGCTTTTAAAAATTAGCTCTAAATAATTAGGCTTCATTATGGTATTTTCCAAACAGTTTTGTTTGTTTCTTTCTCTTCTCATTCTTCCCCTCCCTCCCTTGTGCTCTTCCACCCCTTCATGCCACACGTGATCTTTTCATGCATGATTTCAACGTGTGGGGCGTTATTTAGCTTGGGGAACCAGAGGGGTATATGCCTAAGCCAAATAAAATATTTTTAACATCTTTTGTCTTATTATTTTATGTGTATGGGTGCGTTGCCTGTGTGTGTGTGTGTCTGCGTGTCACATGTGTGCAGTGCTTGTGGATTCAGAAGGGGACGTTGGGTCCCTAGAACTGGAGTCACGGACGGCTGTGAGCTGCCATATAGCTGCTGGGAAACAAACCCCAGTCTCCTGCAAGAGCAGGCCTTGTCCCTGGAGCCTCACAAGTGAAATCTCAGCGAGGTGATTGTTGGAGAGTCCCTTCCTTGTCACAGTAATTGCTACAGGTGTTAGGGTTGTGAGGCCGGAGCAGAACGTATGTTACTGATCGTCACTCACAGCCCTTTGCAGCAAACAGAGTAGAGACTTCTCCACGAGTTTCCTGGCTCTTCTGCTCCCTGCGTCTGTTGTCTCAGGCCGGCTGCTAGCTGGCACATGACCTTGGTCATATCAGGTATCTCTTTGCAAGTCGGCCTCAGTGTTCTTGTCTTGGAGAGGCGGGACAGTAGATCCTGTCCTCCCTACTCTCGAAAGTGTGGTACTATCGAGCTCAAGAGACAAACGGAGATTTTGTGAAACGAAAATGTATAGGAAAAAGCTGTATTTCCATACATGCAATTACAAGTTATCTTCAAAGGTTAAGGAGCTGCTGGAGTGAATTAGACCAGAGTTCAAGTTCAGCAACCACGATGGTTACATGTGTTCAGCCAAACTCGTTTGTTCCAGTATAATGTTACAGATTCCAGAGAGTCACTAAAAGTGAGACCTGGATGCCTCTGCTTTCCACTTTACCTCTTCATCTCTCTGGAGTGCTGTGGATACTTCGGAGATGGGGGTTTCTCTGTGTAACAGCCCTGGCTGTCCTGGAACTCACTCTGTAGACCAGGCTGGCCTCTAACTCAGAGATCTGCCTCTTCTGCCTTCTGAGTGGTGGGATTAAAGGCGTGCACCACCAACGCCCACTCCAGCTACATTTCTTAATGTAGACCTGAGATCTGTATTGTATACCCGTGTATTGACTTACGGAAAAACCGCCTCACATCCTAGACGGTGTATATATTTTGAATGAGCTGATTTTTTTTTTTTTAAATGACGTGTCTTAGAGTTACAGTTTTCTCCTTTCTGTTTCTTTTCAT